TGGTCTATGGGATGGATGCATTATTGCCGGTTGAGGTCGGCCTCGACTCCCACAGATCGAAGTTCTACGAGGAAAAGAAAAACGAAGAGATGATAGAAGAAGCCCTCGACTTAATCGAAGAAGGGCGAGAAGAAGCTTGGGTGCGGTCCGTCGAATACAAGCAAAAGATGCGCGCGTCCTTCGACCAGCTCGCGAGAAGGGTTGGGGAGAAGACGAGTTGAAAAACTTCACGTTTCACAGCTAAGAAGCTGTTCAAATTGTTGCTCGACTTCGACCAGCTCGCAAGAAGGGTTGGGGAGAATACGAGTAGAAAAACTTACGTTTCACAGCTAAGAAGCTGTTCAAATTGTCGCCCGACTTGGACCAGCTCGCAAGAAGGGTTGGGCAGAAGACGAGTTGAAAAACTTACGTTTCACAGCTAAGAAGCTGTTCAAATTACCGCTCAACTTCGACCAGCTCGCAAGAAGGGTTGGGGAGAAGATACACGGAAATAGCAGCAAGATAATTTGAAAAACAATTAACACAAGTGACGAAGGAAAAAGAGAAGCATTATATTCATAGCAAAAACCATTACATTCCGAAGACGTCTCGGCCCTTACAAATCTTGTAAATGAGCCGAGACGAGAAAGACAAAATAAACAACGGTAATAAAGCAGGACAAACAACTAGCAAAACATTGGCACAGCCCCAAATTAGACAAACACGTCTAAGAGTCGGCGTCCGACTTCTCAGCATTGTCGTCTCCACCCTCCATCACAACGGTAGCAGACTTCTCGGGGTTCTCTTCCTCGGCATCCCTGTCGACAAGCTGCTCGGTCCCCTGCCCCTCGTCTCCCTCCTCATGACCAACCCCCTCAGGCCTGACTAATTCGGTCGACCCGGCCAGAGGAGCGACGGTCCGGAGTTCATTCGTAGGACTTCGGAAGCTGTTGAGGCGATCCGGAAGCATATCCGGTCTGCCCAGGAGAGACAGAAGGTGTATGCCGATCGGGAGAGGCGAGAGCACGAGTATGCTGTTGGTGATCACGTCTTTCTGAAGGAAGGTCAGTACGGGGATTGGCTGAGAGCTCCTGACGGGCAACACTGGGCAGGTATGAGTGCATTCCCGTCCACCACGGGTAGTCATCAGGGAGAGACGAGTCACCCTCATAGCCCTCGGGGTCATGGAGCGTCTCCTTAACCGTCTCGCGGTCGAGCTTCCCAGCAAATTCAGAACCCTCCATGACCGCCGCCCACGCATCAAAAGCAAAATTGAAGTATTGAACGACGGCAGGGCAAAGCTTGTCGAGGAAGGCAGGGGAATTGCAGATGGCTTTGACGACCTCCTGGCGATAGGTCTCGAGAAAGATGGCGTCCATGGGGGACTTCAAGAAGGTTCTGCACCGCTCCTCGATGCCGTTCTCTCTCTCGACCATAATCTCATCGCGAGCCTTGTCGAGGTCGGCCTTGAGCTTGTCATTCAGATGCCAGAACACAGCCTTGTCGGCTTTCAACTTATCGACAAGGGCTTTCGAGGCCTCTAAATCCTCTTTCAGCGCCTCGATCTCCTGGCGTTGAGCCTCACACTTGTCCTCGAGGGACTTAGTGGAGGCGAAAGGAGCCTTACTCGTCTCCTCGAAGCAAGGAAGCGCCGCGGCCAGAAACTGCAAAAAAATATTGGAGATAGGTGAGAAAACATGAATCAAGTTTAAGGAAAAATGCAGAAACCAGGTCGATTAAGGGATAGAAAAAATACCCGAGAGAGACACTGAACAGCGTAGTTCGAGCGCTCGTACAGGTTCCCATCGACGCGCTCCTTGTCGTCCTCAGGGATTAGGGAGTTGAGGTATTTAGCCACATGGTACGACTCCGGATGATTCCAGAGCCGAGAGGGCATCTTGACCGTCACATCCTTGACGATGATGGGGGTGGGGGCCTTCTTCTCGACCGATTTTCCTTTGCCCTTGTCGACCTTGCGGCGTTTCAGATCGTCAGGGATAAGGATGGTGGCCCGATCGTCTTGGGCCCTCTTACGAGAAGCAGAGCCCGACGGCTTTAGTTGAGAAGCGCCAGGGTTCTCAACCCTTGATTTCTTGGCAGCCGTCGTCTCGACAGCTGCAGCGTCGGGCCTCGACCCGGACCCACTCGAGGGTCGAGGGAGAGGAGCGGAACCGCCCGTCGATGGGCCGGTCGATGGGTTCTTCTTTAGCTTGAAACGTTTGAGCGCTTTAACTGAAATAATGACAGAAGAGAAGTTAACATGCGAGGAACACTTAGCAGTTGCGATGCGAATAATCAAAATTTATAAGAAGTTGCACAAGTATGTTAAAAGCTTACGGGGATCATACGACTGGACAACCTCGTCAAAACTGACGTTCCAAGACTGCGAAGCTTGCTTCAGTCCATAAATGGACCGGTCCAGATTACAGACCAGATGCTCTCGTCCTTTTGCGATGAAACTCTCTGGCTGCTGCATATAGATGTCCTCGTCCGAATTCCAGCTAAGGAAAGCGGTCTTAACATCCGTCTACCAGACCTCATTATTTATATGAATGGTTACATCTAAGAGTATCCTGATGGATTTGAGAATGGCTACCGGTGAAAAAGTTTCCTCATAATCTATCTCTTCTTTCTGAGTATACTCTTTCGCAACAAGCCTAACGTTCAAGGTCTCGACTATCCCATCTGATCCTCTCTTTATCTTATAGACCCACTTGCATCCAATGGAGCGAACACCATTGGGTGGCTCTACAAGATCCTAGACCTGATTTGAGTCCATTGACTCTATCTTAACAGCCCATCGCACTTTGCCAAGACACTGTGTCCCGATCTTGGAGTGCCTCATCATAGGTCCGTGGGTCGATTTAAAGTCCATCTGGGACGGTCTCAGAAGACTCTCCTAGAAACAAAAATTGATCGAGCTGCCTGACAACCCTCCCACTACGACGAGGTACTACCGGCACAGGTGTATCGTCGGTGATACGTGTTGCAGTATTATGTGGTGTAACATGAGGTGCTTTATCTCTTCTAGGACATGTCTACTACTGGGCTTATGTTCCATAACATAGTATTCCTCCAAAAACCTAACGTTTCTACTAACGATTGCCTTGTGGTCCTTGGTACTATAAAATAGACCACCTTTCGTTTCCTTAGGGTGTCCCACAAACAGGCTCACTTATGAACGTGGCTCCACCTTATTAGTATCCATCCTCAGCACATGTGCTAGAATACCTTATATATGGAGCTATCTTAGACTAGGGTTACACCCAGTCCACAACTCCATGGGCATAGATTGTACTAAGTTTAGAATGTGAATTGCTGTTTCCAGAGCATATCCCCAAAATGAATCAGGTAAAGTATTGTAACTCATCATTGATCTAACCATTTCCATAAGAGTCATATTCCTCCGTTCTACCACACCGTTCTGTTGAGGCGTATCAGGCGCAGTCAGTTGGGATTGAATCCCATTCTCTGTCAAGTAGTTCCTAAACTCAGCCGAGAGATATTTGCCACCACGATCTGATTGTAATGACTTGATACTTTTACCTAGTTGCTTCTCCACAGTTTCCTTATACTCCAAGAATTCCTTGAAGCACTCAGACTTGTGATGCAATAGATTAATGTACCCGAACCTCGAGTAATATGATAAGGGTAACGAAGTACTCGAATCCTCCTCTCGCTTAGAGTGACATAGGACTACATACATCTGAGTGAATGAGTTCTAACAAGTCTTTGGATCTATGCCCCTTTCCTTTAAAAGTCCTCTTAGTCATTTTCCCTTCTAGGCCGGATTCATCGGTTGAAAAGGCCTCAACTTCTAATGACCCCAAGGGCCCGTCTGCCACTAACCTTTTAATTCTTCTTAGGTGTATATGGCCAAGTCTTAGATCCCAAAGATATGTTACGTTCATTTTTCAAGGTTCTTTCCTCTTATTATGATTAGATAATGAATTAAGTAATTGTTTGTATTGCAATGAAAGAGACTTGGTTCTAGAATATATAGATTGTCCATTAAGATCCATCACGAATAATATTTTTGCCAAAAGGAATAATAACTTTATTATCAAAAGTAGCAGAGAAACCATTTGCAAACAACTTAGAAACTGAAATTAAATTCTTTTTAAAACTAGGCACATAAAGACAATCCTTCAAAACTAAAACCCTATCTAATCCAAAGCTTAATAAGCATCTTCCACTACAACAGCCAACGCTTTTCTAACGTTTTTCATGTAGACGGTAAACTCTCCTTTCCTTAGACGCTTGGTTTTCCTGGAACCCCTGCAATGAGTTGCAGACATGATTAGTGGCTCCTGCATCTATGCACAAATTACTGGAAGCTAGATAATATTGCTAAACATGTTTCCACGACTAATGAAAGTGATTTACCTTCTTTGCCCTTGTTGGGGAGAGGGTACTCAACGTAGTGGTGTCCTGATCGCGTTGCTACGAATGTCTCTTCTGCCTATTGAGTAGGACATATCTTCCTCTTTATCCATACGGATTTGGAAGATGAGGCTTCTGCCTGCTCAGCGAGAAGCATCTCACTTTCATCTTTGAGAACCCATTCTGCTACCTCAAGTTCCCCAATTAACTCTATCACTGGCAAGTGATAAATTTAAATGCCATAACACTAACAAAGATGTTTGAGTTCTTTAATTATCGAAAATAGTATGACATCAACCTTGGATATTTCATCCATGTCAACTCCATAGAATCTTAATTGATCGAGCTGCTCCATTAGCTTAAGGACATGTTCCTTTAGGGGAGTGCCCTCAGCCATGGTGATCGACTTGTCAAAATCCAAGTTCTTTCTCCAGTTATAGATTTCAGGACCAGTAAGTTTGTTTTCTTTGAGAATTACGGGAAATAGATTGAAATACATTTTGAATTCTTGAGATCATGCAAAAATAAATTTTACTTAGTCAAGTCTTCGAATTTAAGTCTTTAAATATGGATCCCTTATTGTTATAAGAATTAGTTACAACAACTGTTTATGTATGTAAGATTTTCTTTGTATGTAGGTTACCGAACTCAACTGAAGTTTGGTCTTTTCCCTTGGATTTTTTGTTGGATCTTCCAAGAGATCCTTACATTTTGGCCTTTGCGCCTATTTATACACGAAGTACTTCTGGACACTGTTTGTGTGTGTAGTACAAGTACAGGATATTTTTCTATTTCGGGAAAGTACAACAACATTTATTATCTAATGATTACGGTCTAAATCTCGACCTTGATCTGAGCAGGGGGTGACGACACGTGTTTTAGACATTCCAGAGGTTAGCTGTTACATCCCTATCAATGCACCTTCAGTTGCCCGAGCTGAGTTGTTCGATTTTTTCGTCACATTCTCGTGTATAGTAGACTCTACTTAATCTCGGCAGTATTTCGATACCAATCTCTCTTAATCACTTTTTCAAATCTTTTTATGTGTCGCATCTCCGTTGGAGGAGAAGTTCAGATATCAACATACATGCTCCCAATCTTTAGAGACGTGAAGTTGTCGATCTATGAACTCCATATGACCAACATTGGTCGGCCGAACGAGATATTCGTGATTGTCTTTTATTCGGGATAAGCTGAACTGTTATGACATCATCATTGTTTTTGTCATCATTATTAGGCCACCAGGGCACGGCGGATGTGATACGATTTCATGAAAACTCTCGTCTATTAAACAAAGCGGTAGCCTTATTCGCTTCATGGGACACATGCCTCGTGGCTATTTGTAATGTCAATTGTGGGTCCATATGCGTCCCCTCAACTTTATACGCCTGTTGCACTACTCCCTACATGGCGTCTCCCTATTGGTTTGTTTCAAACGTGATGCCATTTTATTGGCAGTCCCAAAGCCTATATAGCGGATGTCTCTCACGTATTACATTTTACGCACTTGCCTAGCCGTGAATCCACTCATCTTTGAGAGAAAAATACCGAACAGGAGAGCAGTCCGACTATCATCCCCGTTTCAATTCATTTGTACCTTGGTAAGATTTTAATTATTTTTTCTTAGTTTTAAATTCACTCTGCATATCTTCATCAACTGAATCCATCGATCCCAAGCGAGTAAACGAAGTCCTCGCTGGTAACACTGATGGACAAATGAGGGTCCTTCTTATCCAAGAAAATCCCAGGCTGATTTAGACGTCGAACAAGCTACCAGTTGCCCAGACGGCTATTGGCGACGACCTCCTTATAGGTGGTTGTTGACCACCCTCTTTGGGCTTAGAACGATTCTGAGTTTAGTCTCCAATGGTGACATCGTTTCCAATCGTGTCGCTTGGCATATTCCGAACAGTGTTAAACTGTACGCGCCCTACAAGAAACAATGTCTGCATTGTCCCCCGCAGGGCTGTGTCGCGGTCTAGAATGGATTTCACCCGGGCTCTTTCAACTCGGACAGCTTCCGTACCTGCAAGAACTCAACGTCGGGGGGTAGGTGGTCCCAGCATCGAGCCTCCGATGCTTAAGTCAGCACTCGCCAGAGATAAAGAGTGCACTATGGGAGTATTGTAATAAATGGAGAGAAATTAGGTTTTAAAGAAGCCTAGGCCCCTTTTATAGGGGAGGTGTACCTTAGTGTCCAAGTTGGTCTTGACCAATACCATTATGCCATGTGTCCTAGCCCATGTGTAGGTTTATTCTCCAATATTTTCCTTCATATGCATTAAAACCGGTCTAGTATGACATCCCATATCATGTTGTGCCCCCACTCTGGTCGAGTAAGCATAACTCGATCTAAGAGTGAAATGCATCCTCTGGCTATTTCCGTCAACCTGCCACTCAGGTTATATTTTGAATAAATCATCGACTACTAAATACTCACCAAATGAACATCGTATGATCTGCATGACATTCGAATAATCTGAATAACCATCAAATGAAACACCAAATATGCCCATTGACCACCGAATGACCTTCCACTGAGGTCGTGTACCGAATAACCTGCCATAATGAGGTACAGAATCAAAATACCTTCCACTGAAGTTGAAAACCGAGTGACCTGCCGATGAGGTCGAATACCGAATGACCTGCCAATGAGGTCGAGAGCATGACCTACAACTGAGGTCGAAAATGGATTGACCTATCACTGAGATTGAATACCAAGTGACCTGCCGATGAGGTCGAATACCGAGTGACCTATCAATAAGATCGAAAACTAAGTGACCTGTTGATAAAACCGAATGACCTACCTCTGAGGTCGAAAACCGAATGACCTAATGCCACATTCAGGTCGAATCGTGATTCCTAGAGTACATTCCTTTGCTCCTCATTTTGCAATGTCAACCTTCCGTTGATATCTCTAGACCTGCTTACTTGGACATTGTTGTAGCAAATTATTTTTTTTTATCGAGTACCGAATCAAAAGATTCGTTCCCCGGGTCGATCTGACGTGGAAGGTTAGTCGGAATAAGTTGCACGTTTATTCAAACACAAAAAGAAGAAATAAAATTCCTAAACATTATAATTCAGAGGATTAGGTTTGATTATCAACTAAGAAGAACTTCAAATAAAGCAAATAGAAATTTCAAAGCACAGCGCGCGCTATAGGCGCGGCCAGTGACCGTGGCTGGACCTTGCCGGACTTCAGGCGACTTCTCCGGTGACCACCAACTCCAACCAACATAATATGATATAAGACACATAAAAATGCCAAGAAATGCTAGGAGACCTCGGTTGGATTTTGACTTGGTCCGGTAGGGCCGATATGGCTCGTACGGACCCTAGGTCACCGAATGGACTTGCTCAACTTATGAAATCACTTAAGGCCGAATACTTAACATCAAAAATCATGACTATAAGAGCTGGGACATTGGCTATAACTCGCATGTACAATACTTGGGTTCGGAGGTGAAAATAAGCTCGATTTCACTAACAACTTGACCGAACCAATGAACTCAAAACATGCATATCTTTTACCAATGTCATATACATGATATTTGAGGGATAATGAGCTATTATAATCGGCCTAAACATGCATGTACAAGAAAATTCGAATTGAAGGCTCCATCTTTCAAAAATTCGAAACTCGTCTTTAAGCATGTGCATGACCTCATTTCTCTTCATCGAAATTCTTAAAATATCATGTTATAGCTGGGAAAAAATGGATGGCATGAGCTTACCTTCACCAAACTCGAAAATGGTGGTAAGCCTCCTTTGCTCGTGTCTCTAAGGCGTTCCCGAGCTTTGGCTTGCTCCAACAGCCAAAGGCTGAAGATGACGAGTTCTGGGGGCTCCCAAAAATCCAAGAAACCTTTTGGAACTGGTGAGCCTCGAGTGAATTACGCTGGAGCTCGGTACTTCCTTTCTCCCTCTCTACACGCGCGTGACTTTGGACTTAAGCCCTCTCTCAGCCTTTCTGTTATTTTCCCTCTATATTGCTCGAGTTATAGAGTGTTTAAGAGTCCTTAACTGCTGAAGAATGGAGCTTATAAGGAGGTTTGGGCGGAGCATACAAGACATGGCATGGGAGACCAACTCTTGTGACTTTTCTTCATTCTAGGCACATGTCTTCGTGGGAGCATGGTCTTGGACTGATTTGCACGAATTATCAAGGACTTTAAGAGCACAAAAGTTGAGGAAAGATGCTCTGGTCAGGTCTGGTCAAGACACTAAGGTAGTGGGAGACAGTGTCTCTGGTCAGGTCTGGTCAAGACACTAAGGTAGTGGGAGACAATGTCTTACACATTGTAATAAAATAATCACCTAGCACATGCTCCACTTAGCTTAATGATAGATTGTCTTTCCCTTAAACTTGCTTAGGGACATCTTAGCTTAAATTACTCCTCATTAACTCCTTAATACACACAGCACTTGGGTCTTGAAGGAAATGGGCCAAAACTCTTGGAATTGGGCTCGGAAGGTGGGCTGGCGCTGCTGGCGCTGGGCCTGGGCGCGGCATTGGGCTGCAGCGCAGGCTGGCTGCACGCGGCCCTGGACTGGGCGCAACACTGCTGGGCTGTGCACGAAAAAAAGTCTTGGCCCGAGTCTTACCCTTCTAGGACGGGTTAATTGTTGAACTTAGGTGCCAAAACACTTAGAAAAATATTCTCATGAATACTTGGCCATGACTTAGGCCTTCTTGCACGGCATTGGACCTCGGGTGCCCGTAGTCTTAGGCTCGGCATTCACTTGGGCCGAGGCTAACACTTGTCTAAGGCTGGACTTAAGAGTCACAACACTTAGGAAAAATTCCCACATTGCTCGCCTATGCTTAGGCACATGGCTATGGCTCGGCAATTGACTAGGCACGAACACTAGGGTGCGAGTGAAATTTAACCCATCCACGAACTCGGTGCGGGTTCCTCTTGGCCGAGAGACTTATACTAAGGCTCGATAATAATGAACTCATACTTCGAAAATATTCTAAGGATTCATCGCTAAGGTCCGGCACTACTGGGGCTCGGAAATGATGAGGCGCGACTAGGCACTCGCATGATCGAACTCGCGGCACTACTAGGGCCGAGGGAACTTGGAAGACTCTTGCACTTAGAAAAATTCTATGGCATGGCTACAAGCATGGCTAGGGGTTGATCAAGACTCGACACTACTAGGGCTCGAGACTTGGCTAGGCGCGAACTAGGCGCGAAACTCGTGATCGAACATACTCAGTTCCGGACACGGCTTAACTTAGACGATTTATCGAAACATACTCGGTTTCGATTATTCGTCAACTGGAAATAATTAATCCCGACTGAATGAAATCCATTTCTAAAAATTAATGGACCGGAATTAATAACTGAGATTGAATAGATGAATAACTGGGCTCGGAACTCAAGACCAGCAATATTAATAAATAGTTCAAACTCGGAACTAAAAACTGTCACTTTTATTAATACAGAACTGGGCTGTTACAATTACGATATTCCCAAAGGAAAAGGTTGATTTAATTGTGTGCTGGCAAAAAGATGAACCGGCTATTAATTGAGTACTGATTTGTCGGTATGTTAATTAATGCGATTGATCTCTCCTCTTGCGATGGTTTGAACCGTAGACGTCCACACTCTGTGGCCTGCGGGGATTTGGTGTTTAGAGGTGCCGTTGAATTTATTTGGATATTGTTGTTACGGATCAATATTTGATGTTAAATTCTAAATCACATGACTGCGTAAAAACTATATTTACGTGATCCCAGGAATTCAAAATGTCTTTTAATCCGTTGTTCGTTCTCAAAGAAAACAAACTTGTTGGTCCCATTTACATTGACTGGAAAAGGAACTTGGATATAGTGTTAACTGCTGAAGGGTACAAATTTGCTACTGTTGAGGGCTTGTCCGGATGTGCCTGCTGATGATGCGCCAGATAATGAGAAAGAGGCGTATACAAGGTGGAAAAAGGCTGACGAGATAGCGAAGTGTTACATCATGGCATCTTTGTCAAATGTACTTCAACATCAACCTCAGTCTATGGACACTGCAGTAGAAATGCTCCTCAATCTTAAGGAGTTGTTTTGCCATCAGTTGCGGGCTACTCGACAGGAAGCCATAAAGGTTCTGATGAACACGGCCATGCGTGAGGGCACTCCCATAAGGGATCATGTTCTTGCTATCATGGCCCAACTGAATGAGCTGGAGGTCTTAGGGGCTTTTATTGATTGGGAAACCCAAGTCGATATAGTGCTCGAGTATTTCGAAGAGCTTCGAACAATTTCGGTTGAATTATAACATGAATAAGATGTTGATGACTCTTCCGGAACTTGGTGCTGAACTTCAGTCGGCAGAGGGCCTGTTTCGTCACAAGTCCCAAGCTATGGTTGCCCAGAGGGGAGAAGGTTCTTCTTCAAGGCCCTCTAAGGGTAAAAAGAGGAAGAGGTCCTCAGGGAAGGGCGAAGCGGTCATGGGTGATGCGCGACCTCAACAAGCTGCAAAGAAGCCAAAGGGCATGTACCACAACTGTCAGCAGAAGGGACACTGGAAGGCCAACTGCCCTCTCCTCAAGAAGGGCGATAAAGGTACATCTTTTTCATTAGTCGTTGAAACATGTTTAGCGGTGTTATCTACCAGAACCTGGTGTGTAGATACAAGAGCCACTGATCGTGTCTGCAATTCTTTGTAGGGGTTCCAGGAAACCAGAAGACTTAGGGAAGGAGAAGTTACCATCTACTTGGGCGATTCTAGTAGAGCGTCAGCAGTTGCAGTGGGAGACTTCTATTTAGATTTTGGTTTAGATAGGACTTTGGTTTTGAAAGATTGTCTTTATGTTCCTAGTTTTAGAAAGAATTTGATTTCAGTTTCTAAGTTGTTTATGAACGTATTTCTGCTAATTTTGGTAATAAAGTTTTTATTCGTTTTGGCAAAAAGTTCATAT